AGTCTTTGATAGTGGCTATTGTACAATAAACAACTAGATCCTTTATTGATCTGGTTATGTTAATTGTATTTTTCATCATGTCTCAGAGCATTTTTTAATTAGACTGAGAGCATATATTCACAAATCGAATAACGTGTTCTAGGAGCCCAGTTATTATGTCATATTTTTCTCTGCCTGATTACAACTACATTTTATATTTTCCTTCAATTGTACTGATGAACAAGGTGAAAACATTGACTCAGCACCGACAAAAATTCGGGTTTCCAGGAATGACAAGACAGAATCCTCCTAGGCAAAAGGAAAAGCTGCCAGTGTGGTGTTCTGTCAGCAGAGCAACCATTATCAACCCTTCCTTGTATTCTTTAGGAGAGGGGTATATAGGTATAACTTTGAAAAGATTTTAAGCCTGGAACAGAAAGGAGCAATATATGTATAACAAATCTGACATCTGAGAGCTATGCCCAAAGTGCCATGTCTGAGCCATGGCCCTAGGTCATCTTTTGTCTGCTCCAGTATATGGAAAAAAACATACATAAATCCCTCTTCACGTTTATTTTTTTCTGCTGAATACAGATCAACTGGAACAGATGTTGGTGGTCATTACTGTTATTTTTGTGGGTTTTTTTTTGGTAGTGTAATGGGCAAGCAGTAGAAGTGAGTTTATATATACTAGGAAACCCAACTTGAGCTTTTCAGAGAGAGGAAAAAAGATTAGAAAGGAAAATATCAAATCTGCAAAATGTCCATGACAGTCTTTCTGTATATTTTCAAAATAGTGTATCAACACTCACATTGTGACTCCTGCAAGATCCACACATAGCTGTGTCCAAAAATAGCATTAGAAAAACCTGCTGCCCTGTGAGAATCTTGCTGCATATTCTATCTGGGACTAGGTGAACACCCTACTGAACTGTGATTTTATGGGGAGAAACAGCAATGTAAGAAAGAGCATCACTTTACTCTGCCTCGTGCCCTGTGTGTCTTGGAAAGTATCTCTATCAAGTTTATAGAAAAGTGTGAGTTTTTACAGCTTTTTTATCTGTTTCCCCTATACTATAGTTAAGAAAGAGAGGATGGATTTTGCATCTTCTGATGCAGCAATAGCAGCATTCTTTGTGAAATGTTAGTATTAAAAAGCACTGAGGCATCAGAGAGCTGGGTAGGCAGAGGATGGGGAGCCTGTTTGTAGCAGAATGGTCCAAACCACTCTCCTTAGCCCATTGAGGTGTCTGAAATGTTATATATATTTACATTTCCTGGAAAAAAATGTACTGAGAATTCTGCTTCTGTGCTTTCTGAGGAGAGTTGCCTTCTTGGGTGTGTGAGGTTCCTAGGTGGGAATAAATCCATTTGGGGTTTATAAGCTGTATCATGTTGGCAAAATGCCCTGAAAGACCCTGTTCTTTAGATGTGCTCAAGATCACATGTAAGAAATAGAACTAATATGTCACTTATTTTGTCTTGTGCTTTGATGTAAAGACTGACTTCCCTCTTGTTAAAATATTATGATCTGGAGGAAGTGATTTAGAAGACAATCTGTTTAATTAGTGCACAGGAAGAGAGAATCTCTTCCAAGAATAGTTGGCAGCATGGAAGAGGGCATGAAGTCAAGAGCAGGCAAAGGAGAAAAAAGAAATGTTAAAGAAATGTGAGTATTCTGCCGAGATCAAGACAGCATGTTGCAAGAAACCACAGGATGCTACTAATAAAAATATAATCATCTAGGCAAAAAGGTAAACAACTCTCTTGGAATTTGGGGGATATTTATCAGGAATTCAGAAAAGACTGAGAAAATCTTTGGAAGACAGAGGAGCCCTATGAGCTCACAGAGAGGCAGCAAATGTTCCAGTGTTATTTTTGGTTGAGCAGCACTGTAGATTGAGGGAGTTTCTGAAAATGAGAGGTGACACTACAAACTCTTGGAATGAGCATATCTGAAATATGGTATACTGTATATATTTCATATGCTATATATGTATAGCAAACTGGTTTAGTTTGAAAAAAATGATTAGAAATATAGCATCTTTTGATGCCACGATTAATATTCTCTTCTTGAAAAAGTCTTCTCCCTTTTTCAAAAGGATAGGAATGACATCTGAGTGTCATCTCTGTTTCCTTAAGAACCTTGTTTGCTATTTTTATTGTCGACAGTCAAGACGAAAAATTGTAACTAACTCTCGAGATAGCTCGAGAGCCATAAAAGAGCCGTAAAAGTTCATTAGCTCATGATCTGTAGGATCAGAGAGAAATAAAAAATGAAAAAAAAAAGGAGAGAAGGATTTTTTTTTCTTTTTAGCTCTTGAAGGTACCACATAAGACCAAAAACCAGGTAAGATTTGAGTAGACATGATAGAAAACAAGCAAAAAGCAAAGTCACAGTCTTTGATAGGAAAAGATGGATAAAAAATAAATTCCATGATAAGGGTCTTTCTGTGAGAATGTCTGTCTTCACCACTTTTGACATTAACTAGAGCAGGCTGACAGTAGTTAATATGAACAAGATGATGCTGTATACAGTAATGTTGCTCTAACCACCTTGTGAGGAAAATCAGTACCTTTATTAGGAAATGTAGATGATCTAGAAACCATCATAGGTTCTTAAATCACAGAAAGCTCTCCATTCTTTACATGTTAGATTCCTCCTTCAGTCTTTTCTAGATGAGCTCCAGTCGGGTTTTTTTCTTCTTAAGGAAGAAAAAAAAAGTAGAAAATATTTCTTCTAATTGTCTTTTCAATTTATTTAAACCACATGAGATAACCTGTCTGCAATTGGTCAGCTATTTTGTTGTCTTAGGTTAGCTCCAGAATGAAAACACTGTTTAAAACAATAAGTTCTTTTACTTTTTGGAATCCTAAATGCAATTCCTGTCTGCTGGTTGAGCAGTTCTTGCCACTTTTTGCTGGAGAGCAGCTTCCACAAGGTTGTTTTAGTTTTATATACTGCAGGAATACAGCATATATTGTCATTCACATGTCTTTCATGGACAGACCCATTCCCCTGAAAACAACTGCATACTTGATGAATCCATTTGGATTACTAACACAGGAGACCAGAGCAGTAATGTAAAACCAGAGAGGAGGAGGGATTCCTACTGCAGCTTTTTATGATTTACTGACTCCATGAAGGGAAAGAATACCTAATCTTATTTATGGCATGCCCGCTTTACTGATATTGTTAGTGTTTTTAGAAGGCTAGTTTCATTTTTTAAGTTGAGCTAACCAAAATTTTAATGAGGAACAAAAACATTCCTTATTCAGAGTTGATACTTTACACATTTCTTATACAATAAGGACTGGATGATAAAAGTGACAGTGTGATGCTCAGTGCCATGAAGCTGAAAACTGATCTTATTGATGCTCTGAGTGAGGTCACAAAAATCACGAAAAGGTAAAATTTCCCTGTGTAGTACACAGAGAGGCAGATGGCTAAAGCAATGATCCAGAATATCCTGCACATTGAATTTGCAGAAACCAAAATCAGTCTTCAAGAAAAGTGTGGGGGTCTTTGCTATGCAATATTGTACCTGGAATTAAAAACCTATTTCAAGGATTTAGGTAGGTGCTTCTGACAAACTAGAGTTAAGAAACCAGTATTGAGGGCATTGACCGCTTTTTGCTGAGACTGCACAGAGTAGATACGTGATTTAACCCTGATTTGCAGGTGTTTGCTATCTTTTGTATAACTACTTGGTTGTTACAGAGCATGGGAGACTTGGGTTCTTCCTAGCCTTGAGAAATCAGAACATACATATCTGGGCAGTTCCTTGTTCTCCTGGATACTAGGCCATGTTGTGTAGGACAGTTCTTTCCCCTCCTGTCAAAACTGGCTAGCTGTTTAGTTGAGAATGCAAACACTCATTAGCTTGCCTGGTGGGCAAGTGATTCTATACCATGGCAGTTAGGCTGCTGGGTTTGGAAAAGGAGAGCGGAAATATCAAAGGTAGGCAAGGTGGCTGTTCCAGTGAAAATGCTATCCTGATAAAAATAAGGTTCTTTTGGGGATGTTATAATTCTTTTATAAAATAGTTAAGACTAGTCTAGTGTGATTTCATATAATTGTTCCAAAACTGGAATGTGAAGGTTGCATTTAGTTATTCCTGAAAATGTGGGCAGCTTGTAAGGATGTTCTCTGTAGGGAAATAGTAATGTTAACTCTGTAAAAAAGAAAAAAAAATGCAAACCATCCTTTTTCTTCATATGTGTTTACTGCAATTAACATATTCCATAAATAGAGCCACTTATGCCATAGCATTTCCTACAAACATTTATTATGGTGTATGTCTTCAAAGTGAGTATCCAGTTCATGTTATAAAAAGATTCCTCTTTCACTGGTATCCTAAATTTCACCTGTCTTTCTTCAGTTAGTAATTCTGCTTTGGTATCTTACTTTCACACTCTTTTCAGTTGCCTGCTGAATTCTGTACTAACTGGTACCACTGGAAGAATAAAAAACAAACATTAGCTATTTTGCTTTTGTATGAATAACTGAGGTACAAAATTGTTACCATTTTTACTTATTAAAAAAAATTTGGATGAATTTATCATTTGTAAACAAGTGGATGTCCTGAACATTTGGTACTGATTTGAATAATGTTCCTTCCACCTCTTGCTTCTATCATGAGGCAAGACTATCCTGACTCATTTGGAAATGCATCTTTAATGTAACTATATGGGGACTGGAAAAAGGATTATTATGCATATCTTTGATAGCAAGGGCTTGGCAGCTCTAAAGCAGTTTTTGTCCAAGGATTCCCAGTAGTATGTTATAGCAGTGCATATGCCTCATAATTTCCAGTGTAGGTAGATGTTTGTCATTTCATTTTTACACATTGGGAAACTGGAGCATTTAGAAGAAGTGATGAAGTCACCTTGGCCAAACTAGTAAACAAACAACAACAAAATCTGGTTAAATACTGGTATGATTGGTCTGCGATTCACTGGGGCAAAGTTCCAATAATCCACTCAAAATAATTTTTTCATTTGTTATTTCCTTTTTCTAGAAAAAACAAGTGAGTCAAACAAAGATCCGGGTGATCTCTACCATCCTCTTCATCCTGGCAGGCTGCATCGTCTTCGTGACCATTCCTGCGGTTATCTTCAAACACATCGAGGGATGGACAGCCTTGGAGTCTATCTACTTTGTGGTTGTCACTCTGACTACTGTTGGCTTTGGTGATTTTGTAGCAGGTGAGCAACTTTGAGGTACTCTGTATGAGAGCCTTGGCTCCTACTATTTCTTCTCTGGTGTAGAGAAGTATATTTTTCAAAATATATTCCAGTAAAACAACATCAGGTGTTTCTGTTGAGGCTAGTGTACAACAACACACAGGACTCCAGGCTAATTTAAGACCTGGGGCTTGCCATCTGCAGAGTGCAACCTTTCAGCATTGTAAATAATGGGAGTTCTGGCACTCCTGGTTATCCTTTATCCTATAATGAATTAAGCATAAGTCAAAAGACTTTCCTATTGAATTCAGGACTTATATTAATCCATGAGGTCTCACTCTGATATTGATTGCTGAAGTACCTTAGCCAAAATGATGAATAGATGGCACTTTCCCAAAGTGGGGCTGAGCTGTAGGACTAGGAAACTGTCTGATGTGATGCAGTGCTTGGCTGCTAAAGCATTTTTTGCCTGAGCTACAACATTTCAGAGGCTGGATTTCCTCACATGACCTTGGCAGAAATTTTGACCTTGCACGTGCCCTTTTAAGGAAAACTCATACAGTATGGAGAGAACTAATGGTGTGTTCATTTCAGGTCTAGGACGAGACTCTCTAAGATTAATACATTACTAACACATGCTATAAATAGCCATCCTGATTGATCACTGAAGAGGGTGTCAGAATTGCTGGCTAGAGAAAAGGAAAGATTTTTTTTCACTGTACAGCTTTGCTAAAAAAAAAAAGATGGTTAAAATAAGCAGAATTTCTTTTCCCATTAGTGCATGACCTCTCTTCCCCATTCCTATTAGCAGTTATAAGTGCATTAAGCTGCCTGAGTTACAATTACTGTACTCTGGCTACATTATGTCACCTTTTTATCCTGAAATATCAGTGGAACTATGCTGATTTATTACAAGTAGAATGTGGCCCATAGCTTGCCATAGTGAGAATGCTTTCACGCTAGTGTTGGAAATATGAGAGACTTTAAAAATAGCAAATGAAACAAGAAGTTATGATTTTTGGTTTTCCTCGATGAATAGTTGTGGACAAGTCTTTTTGTAGACAAGACTCTCTCATCCTCCTTTTTTTGGATACTGTGATAAAGATTATGTCAATTATTGAGTAAAAAATGGCCCTGAACAAAAAGAACTCCAGATATGAAAAAAGTGTCATTTTATGAGTGTTCAAATACAGAACTGAATGTATGACTTTGGTCCATTTCAACCACTTGAAAGTGAAGAGAAGCTCATTGGTATTCTGGCTTTGTGTTATCGTAGGATAGAGTGAAATGAAGATAATTCACAGTCTTTTTCATAAGTATATGGCACTTTAATATTATTTTCTATAATAATATAATTGTACAAAATGAATCAAAGTCTTCTACATCCGACATGATCAGGAGAATGAAATCCACAGCTGGGTGGCCACTAATGATCAGAAATTTTCAAAAATCAAATGGAGGACCTTAAATTAAAAAAGTTCAAAGGTTCTTACAATACAAGTTTCAGGCCAGGTGATCACCAGCAGATACATGTTTTATTGCTGGTTTTGACACACTTTTTCTTCTACTTTTATTTTTTGTCACTTTAATCTCTCCATATCTCTATCCTTTTAACATCAAAGAGATAATACTGTATCGTGTTGGGTTAAGCAGGATCACTGGAGCTATGGTAATTTATTACAGTAGGATATGGCCCATATCTTGCCATAGTAGGAGTGCTTTTGCATTAGCATTGGAAATTCAGTTGTGGATGGAGTCTGGAAAAAAAAATAGAATATGTGATGGGTTGAAAAAAAAATGTAATGTCTCTGTAGGCTGACTACTCCATAAGGCAGACCTAGACAATCTGCTTTATAGCAAACTTCTGCAGGGACGTGTGATCACAACAGCCTCATTGTACCATAGCAACAGCAGCCCCCACCTCCTATTGTTTCACACTCTTGAAGACTGGAAAAAAAAAATGATTCATACAGTGTATGGGGAGAGATTCACATCAAAAACAATATATGGGTCCCTGCCAATACCTGAATGCCTGAGCTCTCATGTAAATGTTCTGTCATTGTAAGTACACTCAATCTGCATAAAATTCATTTTAAAGAGTCATAAGAATGTCTCACATTGCAAAAAAAGCTCAGGGGAAAAATCTCAATTGTGTCACCTGAGCATTTTAATGGAAAAAAAAAAAACTAAAAACCCTTTCAGGCCATAATGAGGCACAGGTTAGTATTGCTTATCCCAGACTGGAGGAAATATTCATTCCTCTGCTTAAGAACAGGCCATGTAGGCCTGTTCTTCTAGCAGACATTTACCCAGATCCCAGCAAGGGTGGTTTTTGAGTTGAGGAATGTGCATGTATGAGGCTGTGCATATGCAGCAGTACAGCTTCTTTGCCTCCTACTCATCTTATACACTCTGATAGGACTTGAGTTTCAAAAGTGAGGTTATGTCTACTTTCTTAAAAAATTCTACTCTCTCCTGTAATATGGTACAGCCTGGATGTTATTACACTTATTTTAGGCCCTTCATAGGCCTAAATATGCTGAGTTGCCAAATGTCCCACACACTTGTGTTATCAGCTCTTCCCAAAATTTGCATAAAAAGCACATAGGATATTTGTAGCTTTGTTTGACCCGTATCTACTCTCAAGCCACTGGTCAGGGAACACATTGCTGTTCAAACAGGCAGAATATTTTTGTTATCGAAGCCTATGTAGGAGTGAATTCCTGTCATATAGCCTAATTTCAGGAGAAAGGAAATTTACTTTTCTCACTCCCCATCAGAGATCTCTAAATCCTGTACTTAGAAGCAAAAAATCTGGAAAAGCCTAAAGGCAGTTCAGAATAAGGAAGACTATCTGTATTATACTTTTTTCTCGGAAATGTGTTCAAGCTGTTACAAGTAGTATCAAGGTAAAAAATTTCTGCAGTATAAACAAAAAAAAGTTTACCGAGTGTTCTGGCAAGTCCAAAAGCAGGAGAGCAATAGTTTCAAAAAAAGGACTTTTGGTAAGTCTAAACTTAAAAAGAGACAATGTTCCTGCCATCTGCCAGGCCTCTAATTTTTAGGAGAACTAGAGTGGCGTTGGCAAGAGTAAAGAAATACCTTAATGAATTTCTCAGAATTGCCAGTATTTTGGCATAATTTTGGCACCTCATGACTCCTAATCATAAGTATATACTTATTTCAGGAGGAAATGCTGACATCCACTATCGGGAATGGTATAAACCCTTAGTGTGGTTCTGGATCCTTGTTGGCCTTGCCTATTTTGCTGCTGTCCTGAGTATGATCGGAGATTGGTTAAGAGTCCTGTCCAAGAAGACAAAAGAAGAGGTATGACTAGCAATTTCTGAGTGGTTTGTCACTTTCTAAGAAAGTTCTAATTTCCTGATTCCTGATTGTCTACTTAAGGTTACTCTTCTGTTTGACAAATACTAAATATTCCCTTTAGTTCACTCCACTGATTACCTGAGTTCTAATCTTCATCTTCTTCACAAAGGGAAGAGAAAAAGCAACTGAAACAAACCTTTGTTGTGACACCTCTGTCAATACTGCTGCATAACACAGAACACATTGGTAGGATTGCAATTAAGGAATACAAACCAGCCTTCACTGAATTTAATTACAAAACTGTAATAAATATTGTAGCTCTTCACTCTAGATGTTGTAGATGCATGGATTTTTAAGATCAGAAAAAAATACTACTGTTACTGTGTGACGTCCTACCTAGTGCAGCAGTTCTTGCTAAGCTCTTTGCAGAGCCTACAAATTCTGCTTATGCTGTAGCATGTCCTTTACTCTTGGAATCAATTGTTTCTGTCCATTATCTGCCTTTAAATCATGCTTTGATATTGAGTTTCTCCTATGTCAGGATATTTGGCTCTGAATAAGGATTTGAAGCCAGCATCTTTTTTTTTGATAAACGTTATTAAAAATAGAAGAACCTGAGTAGATAGCATCAGAGAAAGCATGTGTAAATTCACTCAGAACATAGAATCATAGAATCATAGAATCATAGAATGCCGAAGGTTGGAAGGGACCTCAGAGGTCATCGAGTCCAACCCCCCTGCTCACGCAGGGTCACCTAGAGCACCTGGCACAGGGCTGCATCCAAGCGGGTTTTAAAGATCTCCAAAGAAGGAGACTCCACAACCTCTCTGGGCAGCC